CTCCTCCTCTAGTGCTGTTGGTTTGTCAGAGGAGAAACAATGACGATAGAGATGGCTCCTCGCTGTGCTGTGACAACCAATTACATAACGTCAGAGCCGAGTGCTCTCATTAACATTCGCGTCCATTTCACCGAGAAACACTCACATACACAACACGGGCAAATCCTGACTCATATGCAATGAATTTGTACCGATAAAACCCACCATGTACATAAAGTGCTGAGCATAACGACATCTGTGATCGACGTGCTCCTACTCTTGTTTACCCATTGGACGCATGGATTGGAGCATAAAATGGCAATCCTTACCCAGCATTCACCACCATCTCCATCTATGATAGTGTCCTTAAAATGACAACACTCTTTAATATCACATAGATATGTATGCGTGTTCCATTTACGCAGATACACGGACAGTTTTGCTATTACGATTTGAACAGTGAGGTCGAATGTCCTGTCAATTCGAAGGGCAAGGGAAACAGCTGCATGTTAAAAACAACACCCTGCATCATGCTGTCATTTCAAGGGAAGTAAGAACATCAGCTAATCTGTGCAGAACGAAAGCAAACGCCTCAAGAAATAGTTCCTCCTCACGCGAGCAAAGCATGCATTAGTAATCTCAAGATGGTCCTTTTCACCCTTGGATATGCAAACACACTATCAAAACAACACATGCATAATTCACAATTGCTTTGGTATTGCTGATGAATCAGTAGTACTTGTTCGGTAACGCAGCAGAGAGGGGATGGAACATCATCCAAACGACGGGAAATGATGCGAGATTCCTTTATCCCTGCGTCGCCCTCTGCCTAAAGGATGCTCAGCGTCTCTTCCCAGTACAGCAATTTGCCATCAACACGGAGCAGACACACACACACACACACACACCACACACACACACACACACACACACACACACACACACACACACACACACACACACACACACACACACACACACACACACACACACACTGACTTACCAGAGATGCTGCAGCTGCCGAGGTGCACTACTACCCAATAGCCTATGCTGCAATATATTCAGTATTTCCCCTTGCAGTGACAGAAGGTGACCCTGCGTTCTCTCTCTGCAAGACACTAGATCACGACGCACGCAGCAAGGGGGAGCTCCACGGCACAGACGCGCGTCGGGGGGATGGCCCAGCGATTTCCTTTCACCACAGAAATACGCTGCGGGGAAACGGGAAAGCGGATGGAACTAGGAAACAGGCCTTTTTCTAACTGCCCTCCCAATATTAGCAACATAAGCTTAGGGGAGATTTGCTAGATGTTTCAGCATCTGCAGACGAGAGGATCATTTGCATTTTCAAGGTTTTATTAGCAATAAAGTTTGATGGATCATATTTGAGTCTGTAGGAAATACGTTTTGTTTTATATATCAACAATTTCTAAAATAATATGATAGTTTCAATACCGGGGAGAGCCCCAAATTTGACTTCCACTTTCCAACCAATAAGGGGAGAGGGTGGTAGGAGTGGGCGTGGTCGCTTTTCTTGTAAATCACGCCCCCATTGCATTACACTGCAGGGGAGGGAGATGGTGTTTTTGTCCTTTAGCTGCCTAACAGGCCTACTGCATCTCCATCCACTGGTTAATATGGGATGTCTGTTGATATAACTGTGCAACATTCAAATGTGCTTTCAGAGACGGCACAATATGACCGTGCTGTATATTCTTAAGGTCATTGTAAAAAGAGTCTACCAAAAGGGAACACAATAATGGACACATTTGGGGATACATGGAGAGGACAAAGAGGAGGATAGCATTGAAATATTGCAGTCTCTGTGTTTTGTATGACTGATTTATGTTTAGAAGATCAGATTTACTGTCCGTTAGCTACCTCAAACATGATAAATGATGTAAGGTTGGTTCATCAATGTGGGTGTTTCAATAAAAATACAAAGTGTAACAACATTGTGTTTTTTTTGTGTTTATTAATATAATCATGTCTCCATTGAAGAAGGACCATGCATAAAAGTACATTCATCTAAAAAAGAGAAGAGATGATTTATGCCAGATTTGAGCTAATAGCTAAATTCCACATAATCAACAAACCCTAAAAACATTGCATAGTCTCACATATCACATCAACAATTATAATCAGATCACAACACACAACCCTCTTTCAATCAAGTAAATAAAGGACATTTCTGAGTATAAATATCATTTTGATTTCATTGGTCTTTTTATTAACTCAAAACAATTCCGGTTGTTGTGTCAACATGTCTCATATATCCAGTTTGTATTTATGAACACACAATATGGCTGCCTTCACTCTCTATGGATTGATGCAAGCATCTGCCTGTAGTCTGATAAAGACAAAGTGTTAATTATTTAGTTTCCTACAAGGAAAACATTGAAACAAACGTCTCTGTTTAGTCAAGGGAAAGAATATTCTTGTTTTTGTTTTTTGTAGCGCTCATCCTTTAAACTCTCAGTGGAGCAATGCGCCCTGCCAAAGCCTCTCAACATCCAAGACAAACAGGGAGAAGAGAAGAGGTGTTTGTTTTGTGGAGATGAGGTTGCTGGAGGAGCAAATGCCCTAAAGCAGATTAAATGGATGCTTGGGTCTGACTTTTAGGAGCAATAACTTTATCTGATTATATAAATGACACGGAGAGGTTATTAGAAAGCTACAGTCACACAATACTTTATAATCGGGAGGCGTGTGGTGCAGTGGGTTGAGCGTTGGTGTTCGGATCAGGGGGTCACAGGTTCAAACCCCACTGCAGTCAGCATGTCGTTGTGTCCCTGGGAAAGACACTTCACCCCAAATTGCTCCTGTGGGGATTGTCCACAGTATTGAGTATGTAAGTTGCTTTGGATAAAAGCGTCTAACAAGTGACATGTAATAATCGGAGCTGTGCATGCACGCTTTAATGCACACACATGCGTGATCTCTTTCTGTTATTAAATAATACATGTGTATATGCAGGGATTGTCCCTACTGCATGCATAACCTTGACCACCTAAACCATTGAACTGTCGAATGAAACTGATTTATTTCAAATCTATATTTAACACTTGCAGTTCTTCAAGATTTGAAGACAATGAAATATTTTAGGCTTTTCTCTTCCGCTCCTTTCTTTTTACTTTTACTGTTTACTTTGCACTCTCAGAATATAACCCCCTTTCTCTCTGCTTGACTTACTACTAAGGGAAAATTAACCCTCCAGGTAGAAATTGTTTTGAAAGATTTGACTGTAACCAATAATTTCATTACAAATTCACAATGTCAGGGAAACTAAAACATTTCTGGGAAGGGGCTCAAGGAGTGGCATAAGTACATTTAATCAAGTATTGTACAATTTTGATGTACTAGTATTCTCATTTTATGCTACTTTGCAGTTCTACGGCTGTACATTTATCTTTACAGATTATTAGCCAATACAACATATTTAAAACAAATTGAGTAAACATTGACAGATATATGGCAGCTTTATATAAAGTCACAAAAATAAAGTCCACCTTTTATCAGCTGTGATAAACATTATTGAATCAATAATCATAATCTAGTGATTTAATATATCAGATTCTGAAATGGGTCTCTTTATCAAGTACTTTTACTTTTGAAACTTGAGCATAAAATGTGAGTACTTTTCCGCTTTAGATTGTGATCACATTTGGATCCACCGTGTCTGGTTTATTTCAATCTACTGTTTACTTTATCCATTTCTCTGACGGATAACATCAGTTTACATTATACCAAAATGGCTTAAATTATAAATCACCTTTAACGGAACACCCAACATAGTCATAGGAAATCACAAATGTACCCTCATCTGCCCCCATGTTGTTAACTCAAAGGCATTCAGTGACTTCTAGTGGCAGCAGGCTGCTAGTGAAAACCCTGCTATAAGACTATGAGATACATTTTTCTCTTATTATTAAAGTGTTTGGTAATAGCTATCTAATATTCCTGCACAGATTGAGGACACATATTATGCAATAATACAATTATTCGTAGAATCAACTTACAGTCATTGCTGCACAGGACTTGTTCCGATTCATGTGATCCAGACAAAGCAAATCTTACACAAGCTGTAGAGTCCACATTTCTTTTAAATGAATACATTTAATAATGAAAATAAATCACATCATGTTTTTATCTGACAATTGTTCCACTTTAATCGATTTATGTTGCAGTTTATCCTTTCAAAACCTTTTTTCTACTGCATTTGAAAACATTTATCTCCTACTAGCTGTACACAAAGGGAGGCACGCACATATGAAAGGGGTGTAGTAGAAACAAGCTAACGGAACCTTAAATTATTTCGATATCACCAAAGTAACAAAAGAAAAAAGAAAGGTTCAAATGTAAACAAGAAAAAAAACAAAGAAAAAACATACAGAACTTTGACATTCTGTGGTTCCGATGACAACACATTTGGAAGTCTTAAAGTGCTTTGTGACATCACGAACATTCTAAAGTCAGGTGTAGGTTGAGCTGTGTGGAATCATTCGGTCATTTACTTTTGGCGAGCGGACGAGAAGCAACCTCTGAAAATCCCCAATAGTTTTTACCCAAACGGCACAAAAACACACAGTACTGAACGTGAAGCATTCTGTAACAAATACAGGTAGTTATTGCTTAGTTTTTAGGTTAACCTGTACATTTATTTAAAGAAAAACTGTGAAATATACCAAATGAGTTTCTTAGAGTAGATTTATACAGTTTTTTTAATTTAATTTGTACTGCTTTTCTATTAGTAAATCGTTGTGGGGTGAGGTGGCTGACAGCAGGTTGCCACTTGTACATTTCCTCTATCATTTCTAAATTATTCACTTGTAAATCTTAAATCTAAATAATCTTTGGTGGCAGGGCTATATCAAAACAAGCTGGAAATGTTCTAAGACCTTTTGATAACTCATTATTGTGGGGCTTTTAAAAACAGTTATAAACATTAATCAAGGCAGAAAATCATTCAATTGTGGCTATTGGAATAACATACTAATACTTTCTTAACTTTGCTTTCAGTTATGCCGTCAGTTTTAAAATCTCAACCCCTGGTCAGCACAATCTCAGACAATTACGAGATTTTAATAGTTCTGGGAGTGGGTTCCTTTGGACAGGTGCTGAAATGTTTGAAACTGGACACTGCAGAGACTGTGGCTGTCAAGGTTTTGAGAAACAGTAACGCAGATGAACTCAACATGAGAGAGGTGAGCTAGCTTTGGATGATCACGAGTCAAAGATCCATTATTGGACATTGCCTGAGTCTTAATCAATATTTGCTCGTACACAACCTCACTGTTTTATGTATCCTCAGATGTGCATGCTGAAAAAGCTCAGATGTTTTGACTCTGATAAGTCCAACATCGTCAGATGCCATGAATGCTTTCAACGGATGGACCGGACGTTCATGGTTTTTGAAATGCTGGATATGAGCCTCCATGAGTACATGGACAAGAGAGAATGGCTGCCTGCACCTCTCAATGGCATAAGAACGGTGATCAAAGACGTAAGGATACCAGAGAGAAAATAATTAACAACTATTAGTTTTCCACCCGTTAGATAAGATATACTTTTATTGATCCCAGTTTGGGAAATCAGTCTCATCATATAAACATTATGTAAATGACTTCACTTGCAGTTGGCCACAGCATTTGATGCCCTAAAGAGTATTGGACTGATCCATACAGACTTGAAGTTGGACAACGTCATGCTGGTGGATCACCAGGTACATCCGTTCAGGGTGAAGCTCATCGACTTTGGCCTAGTTGTAAAGACCTCCGAAGTCTGGAAAGGACTTGTAGTGCAGCCTCTCTGGCATAGGTAAGACCTCTAGATCCTTTATCATGGATATGCAATCGATGTAGGAAGTTCACTGCCATCTGGCTGTCTCTTATTGCATATTTGGAGAAGAGCAGTATGCCTAAAGAAAATGTATGAGTTGTATTTTTATTTCTTTAACAATGACCTTGTATATTGTGCTGTTCTTCCACACTCAGAGCCCCTGACGTTATTCTTGGCCAGCTATTCAATGCGGCCATCGATGTTTGGTCTCTTGGCACCATATTGGCCGTAATGCTCCTCGGTGTTCAGCTTTTCCCAGGAAATAATCAGTATGATGTGGTGAGTAACATTGATGGTTCATTTCTACATTTGTCTTAATGTTTGTAATATTGTTTTGATATGTACTAATACTTTACGGTCAGGCATGTTTAATACATGGCTATTAGAACATGCATAGAGTAGTCAAAATGACATTTTGCTGTGTTTTGTCTCTAGCTCCATTTCATCATCGATCTCCTGGGTGAACCACCAAGGAAACTCCTGAATAGTGGATTATTCACAGAGTCCTTCTTTAAGGGAAAAAGCAGATTCTGTGGGCAGACGGTTTGGAAATTCAAGGTATAGCACCGCAACCTTCTTTGCCAAACATTCATTATCCTCCATTAGATCATGAGCATAAAAAGCAATACAATATTTTGTCTTCTTCCAGACACCCTTGGAGTTTCAGCTGGAAACAAAGCTGAAGACGAGTGATGACAGGGAATACACGTTTTCCTCTCTGGAGGAGCTGAAAACAGTAAGTTCTCAAGAAGGTGCTGCCGGTAGAGGCAGTAACAACATAGTCAAATATCAGGAAATCTTTTTGGCTAGTGTCAATTCATTTGTCAATATTTTTTTGTATTTAGTCAAGCACACACAACAAAACCAGCTTCCAGGCAGAAGACGGGAATTCTTGTGTGGAGCTCTTGCAGGACATGCTCCAGATGGACCAAAAGAAAAGGATTACTCCAAAACAAATCCTGGCCCATCCATTCATAACCAGGAGCTACCTCAATCTGAGCAAAAACTGTCTGTATGGGTAAGTATGTCTGTTTGACAACAGTAGGCATTTTAGATTACTTTAAATGGCTATCGTAATGTGTACCGTACGCAATTTGAACATGATTGTAAACGTGATTATCCTTTTGTAGCACTGAAACTGTAGAAGCTGACAGTTCCAGCGAGAGGCCAGGGACAGAACAGACAAAACTTGACGGGTAAGTAATGATTTGTTTCTTTTGGTTTTGTGGTAGAATGGAAATAATAGTTTTCCATCAGTTTGAAACATTTCACCTGGAAAAGCGCTCTAATAAAAATGTAATGAATTATTATTATTATTATTTGCTCTGACCTCAGCACGCTTCCGAATGTTTCTAAATGCATCCGAACAACATATTTGATGGGAACACCACGTGTGCATCTTTGCTTACCTTTAGATCCTCTGAACACTCCTGTAGTCTCAAAGAGCTGCCAGCTGGGGTCATCGAGGTTCAGACCGATGAGAGGACCGTACTGGTTGAAGAAGCCACCAAAGAGAGCAGTGTCCTCAGGTAAGGCCACTAATCCCTCAGCTGAGAGTAGAAGAAAAACACAATAAAGTTAGGAGAGATAAAATGATCATAATGTTCAAAGTTAATGCAATCAAAGCAGGTGACATAAAATGCACCTTTGCCCTTAATATGACAATGTCAGTTTCAATACAATCTAGACCTTTTGATCTTGTATGAACCAACAATGACCCAAGTGTTTGTGTGTTTGTGTAGGACCCAGACTGTGCATGGAGATACCCCCAGCTCAGTGAAGGCTGAAATTGCACCTGAAATTAAACTGGAATCAGTCACTGATGAAGATTGGGAAATAAGCATATCGGTTATTGGAAAAGGCCATTCCGAAGCTCCCAAGTCCAGCAGCGAAGAGCCTTTGCCCGCACCTGGTAGGAAATATTTACCTCACCATTTTCTGAATTGTCGCATTTTTCCAAACCCCATTTCTTCAAAGTTGATTAAAACACTAACTATAATTTGTATTTTCAGTGGTCAGCGAGCCCAGGAAGAAAAAGAAGAAGGGAATCAGAGGATTCTTCTCCAGGATGAGGAGGAATTTCTTCTCCTGCTTCTGTGTGCCTGGGCAGGGCGAGGAGTGAAGTAGTCTGTGAAGGTTTTCCAATGAAACTCACTCTGTCAGTTCAACATCAGCAGCTTCATTTCCCTTAACTCTGACATGGGTGTTTAAAAGTCCTTCAAGCTCTCTGGAGATTCAGTGCAAAACTTCACAGTTACTTCTATGGGCAGCACGGCACTTCCTGTGAGGAGCAGGAGCCGTGTCTGCATGGGTTTTCTCCGGGACCTCCGGTTCTCCTATTTTTTACAATAAATTGTTCACAAATTACAAATATGTCTATTGGTTGTACATTTTCAGTCTTAAGATAGGACTGAAATACATTTCGGTTGGTAAATTGTTTTGTGTTTATGAAGACTTTCTACTGTGATTTACTAAGAGCTGGTCTTTCTGACGGATAAACTCTCAAGCCAAATTGAGGGGGATGCCACGCTGTCATTTGAGTTTTCGATTTTTCCAGCAGTTCATATTCCAATTCGTGGTGCATTTATGGTCAAATGACCATTATAAAGTAGTGACAATTATTTTGGAAATAGATTTTTATGTCTGTGCCCATTCTATTATTCCAACCATTTTGTTTTCTGGTGCTTTAAAAAGTACTGATATTCACAGGGCTGCTACTATGGCTGCAGATTTAAAGTCTTGTTTTAGCAAAATGTTAAGAATATGGTATCATTATCCTGAAATTTGATAACAACTTAATTTACTTCAAATCATTTCAATAACAGTCTATATGATATTAATATGTATTCTGTCTGTATTATACTGTCAATATATTAACCATCTAGTGCAGTGTTTCTCAAACTTTTTGGACCACTTAACCAATAAAAAAACACTTGCGGACCACCTAACTCCACAAATATCCAAAAACACATCGTTTTTTGCAAATCGCCTGAAAATGGTAAAAACAAGTGGCCACATGTGTGATGAAGGTGTTTATCTGGGCTATATCATGCAATCGAAAGTGAAACTTAAGCTCGCTCCATTGCGGAGATATTCCCGGGAGAGTGTGGAAAACTTTAATTAATTAATTAATTTCAAATGTGAAATGTTACCAATATACTCACGGACCACTAGGGGGCGCTCACGGACCACCAGTGGACCGCGGACCACACTTTGAGAAGCACTGTTTCATTTTTGATACGACTGTTTATAATGTGTATACCCCTTTATTCTGTTCATAGTGTAAATACTTCAGTTTGTATCGTTCAGATGTATATATATTATACTAGACATCACATTTTCTTTATCTTATCACTTGTTCTCAGACAATAAAGTTGAATCTTATCTATTCAAATGTTGTTTGAGGCCTCATATTTCTCGTGATTACCCAATAACAGAGTCAGTCATCAACCAGTAGCTTATGTTCTCAATTGTCTCCCTGGAAGCTCAGAGGTATAGTTGAAAGTAGCTGTCAATTATGCAAAGAGAGAAGATAGATTTAATACTACATTATATATAGTCACACATAACAAATTGCTTCTTGGTCGAGGTCTGAAAAATTATGTCATTGTTTGTGTCATCAGTGGTGTAAAGTAACTGAGTACATGTACTCAAGTATAATACTTAAGTTTGAGATACTTGTTCAGATTTCAATTTTTGTTTCTAGCCGACTACAATTCAGCGGTAAATACTCAATTTATTTAATGTGGAATTAAAACTAGCTACACCTTTCCTAGCTTTGATAAACACATTAATGCATCAATAATTATAATCACAAAATATAATGTATATTATTCTGAAATGGGCTAATCTGCATAATGAGTACTTTTACTTTGGTACTTTAAGTATATGTAGATGCTAATAATTTTCTTCTTTTACTTGAGTAACGTTTTGAATGCAGAACTTTTACTTGTAACAGAGTGTTCCTAGTAGTCTGGTACTTCTACTTTTACTTAAGTACCAGTAGGCCTGTCACGATAATTAATTTTGTTGGACGATACATTTTCCTGGAAATTATTGCGATAAACGATAATATTGTCGCCACTGTTGTAAGACCATTTTAGACCACTGACAATGATAATTAATAATAATAATTCAAGTAGGCCTACATACTTTCAAACATAACTTTTTATTGAACATTCAACAAATGAAATGTGAAATAATATTAAATATATAAATGATATATAATAAATAAAACAAATTAATTAAATGATAATAAATAAATTAAATCACACACAACCCTATATATATATATATATATATATATATATATATATATATATATATGTGTGCACACATTGTCTCACAAGCAAAAAAAACCTCCTTAAAACAACACTCAAGTGTACAGTCCACTGTCCATACAAAGACCCAGATGCCTCAACAGGCCATATCCAAATCTGTTTTTCAAAGTTTTCGAGCAAGGAACACCAACATGTTTGCATTGTCGGGCAAATGCATATTTGATTGTAAACTGTCGGGAAGGTGGGGGCTCTCCATCTCCAGCTGACGTGTTTTCTACCAGCTGGGAAAACGGAATGGGGTGGTTGTGTTTTAGGTGTAGTTTAAAATGCCTGCTTTTGTGGCTACCTTTTTTTAAAACAAATGCGACACACCGCCCGGCTCATTAAAGTCCGTATTCGCCTCGTTGATTTGGCTTGAATCCAAAATACTGCCACACCGGAGAATCGAGATGTGTAGTTAGGTTTTGTAACCAATTCCATTTAACTTTAAATTCCCCGCGAGTAAGTCACACGTTGTCTCCCGCTTATCGCTATATTATTAATTTGGCTGCCTGCTACGCTGCTGCACGTGCACGCGGAGTGTCCTGGGGCCTCATAACGCCGTGCGTAGGATTCACGTGGGAAGGTTGCTTACGTAGTAGAAATCCGAAAAATAGGTACATACATTTTCCGACATTTTCCGATGTACCGAATATTGCGTACCATGGTCGGTTTCCCTTTATAAATCCCAATCGATTCGAAATGCGGTGCAGCTTTTTCGGGCTTCACGTAACGCCCATATTTGCCTATAAATAGTCAAAGAAACGCCCATTCATTCATTTTGACTGACTTTATGAAGAAGATCGCAGGAAATTACGACAGAACAGCTAAAAAAGACATCTCACACCGTGTCAGATGTTGGTTATTTTGGGGAGGTCGAGATAAATCATATTGTTTGGTGGATGCAGTTTGAACCAGAGTAGCAGTGGTAAATAAATAAGTGGTCCGAAAAAGGTTAATGACAAAATAAATACACATAGCCTTCCGGGGACAGGAGACCCCCCTTGATGAGAAACTCTAAGAAATGATCGGGGAATCCCTCCGGAGTGGAGTCATGACGACTGGATCTGAATTATTTGTTTGTATTTGGTAGTTTGTGTGCCCCAGCTGTCGATCAGCTGTCGATCAGCTGTGCGCAGCGTCTCCACCAGTTAAAGGAAATACAACTAATGTGTTGTGTTATATTAGCTGTACAATTTACCACATATGATGTGTTTCCATACCTCCTGTGTTTTACGAGCGACTTATCAAGTCTTGGCAAACGGCATAAAACACGATTAAACGTGATAGTATATAAAACCATGCATCTACAACCTATAGAAATGCAAAACGGCGTCAGTTTAGACGTAATTCTGTCCTCCTGCTTACCACATCATTTATGAGAAAACATTTCATAACATTAACACAACATATTCGAGGTGGTTTTAAATAACATATCCGTATTTATTTATTTCTCCAAGTTGTGTTTTTGTGTGCACTGAGGAGTCTCAAACAGGCGTTTGTTAAATCATTTTAAGATTAGCTTTAATCAATTTGTGAAAATGAATTCATATATGATAAATGAGAGGTAACATTTTATTTATGGTATTATTTCCATATATTTCTCTCCATTCTTCCTTCTGCCAACGGTGTAGCAGTTTCTCGTCTCTCCCGTGTTTGTGTTTGTGCTTGTGCGTACGTATGGGTTAGAGCAGTGGTTCCCAAACTTTTTGTGCCCAAGGCACACCAAAGGACAAGTAAAAATCTCAAGGCACACCTATTGTGCAAAATAGCCCTTATAACACGTGTTATCACTCATATCATGTAAAATATCTGTAAATGTGCATAATTATTTACTAATGCCAAATAAAATGTGACAAAGACAACTATATTACTCATGAAATATTTATTAACGAAATATTTCAGAAATTAATTCGAAACTTTATCAAATTAGGCTTCATCAAACAGCAACACACTCAGTTAAACCAGACAGGTCACAAAATAAAAAATGAGGCAAAGGAAACTCAGCAGAAATTCAGCACAGAGAACTGTCAATGCAAGGAAGCTGCATTGTTCATGGTCCTGAACTACAAATTGTAACATTTCAGCAATCAGCATTGAAACATGTGCTATTGTAAATATTTTGCCGATATATTACACTACTTCGTTACTATCTACATAAAGTAACTCGTTACTTTACTCGCCGAGCACGTACGAACTGCGCATGCGTGAGTGGCAATAACTTTCTTTACCAGCAGGCGGCGGTAATGTGTATTTGTCATTCAAAACAGGCAACAACCGGAAGACAGAGAAGAAGAACAAACTACGTGATATAAACAAACAACAAATAGCGTGTGTTCTTTGCAGGTGTTTGTTGAGGTTTGACGTGGTGTTTCCAGCAGTGGATAACAGCTTCTGTCCTGGACACAGTTTGCACCTCACCGACACATTCCTGTCTATTCTTCGGACGAACTCAAAAATAATGGGCATACCTCCACCCCTCGAAAGTTATCGCTGACTCAGCCATGTTTATGCAGCACTGCACGTGAAGATGTGGACGCACAAGTCACGCAGATTACGTACATATAAACCTACAAAGTACTGATATAGTAAATTAAAAAGTAATTATTTTTGTGTTTGTATATTGCAATAATAACGTATGGTTGTCACAAAATCCCACGGCACACCCGGACTTGCCTCACGGCACACCAGTGTGCCGCGGCACACCGTTTGGGAACCACTGGGTTAGAGTTTGCGTGGAGGACCGCACATTTTCCCGTCAAGTTAGTATTTTATAAATCGCAAACATTGCGTAGAAACTGGC